GCTAGGTCAGTCCATGACCTTAATGTGCTTCTTCTTGAGCCACTCCTTTGTTGCCTTTTTTAAAAAATTTTTTTTTACTTATTTCACTCACTGAAATGCAAATCAATTTCTAACCTTTATATAATGAGTTTTTTTGGTTGATATTCTGTCTCTATCCGTTAAAATAAACCTACCATAAAAATTACAGACCCTTCATTTCTTTGTAAGTGGGCAAACTTACAAAATCAGCAGGGGATCAAATAAATATTTCCCCCACTGTAATAAAGATAAATCATGTTAGTAGGGAGCCCACAATAATTAGAAACACATTAACTGATGTTGAAATGTCACAAAAACTCTATTGCACCTAATAAAGTGCTGTTCAACGTGAGTTCATGGAAACTAATGCTTTAAGTAATGTTAACACACAGCATGAATGAGCAGACTTTGAATGTTAAGAAATGTAAATGTATAAAAGAGCATAAACTACGATTATTAATGTTTTAAAGAGGTGTACAAAATAAGCAATTAATGTTAAGAAATGCATTAGTATAACAGTTAAAATGAACCAACTAATGCTGTAAACCAGTCATGCTCATTGTGGGTTCAAGTTAGCAAATGCATTAAGTAATGTTAATAAATACAACCTGTCTTACCATTATTTCGTTATTTATATTATTTGTGATTTTTGCTGAGATGTTGCTATTTACTGAAACTTAGGTTTAGGGGGTTGAATTAAGGAAAGGTGTGTTATTACTTTTCTTTTTGCAACTGGATATGAAACAAAATCCCATAGACTTACATTGGAAGAGGGACCCAAGCCATAAATAATGACAAGAAAATCACAGAGACTTGAGTCGAGCAGTAAGCAACCACTCAGATAAAAACACGTAAAACACCTTAGCAACTGCATAGCAATGCCCTAGCAACCACTTACAGCACCCTAGTATTGTTTTCTTCCAGTTTATACTATTTACTATATATTTGCATTTGCTTTTTATTTGAAAGTACTGTATATGAAGTAATAATTAAAGTAAAGGGTTACAATAAACATCCAAGTGAGTAGAGGAACCAGAGTGAATCCATTTTCACAAAAGGAAATACTAATGGAGAAAATGCCAGGATGTCAGGCTAGTAAATGTAATGGCTATCCATAAATTTGACTAATACTTTTGACAACAACAGCTGGCTGAATTAGTTATTTGCTTGCAACTCGCAAATATGCAATCAGAGAAGCACTTTCTCCCATTTCCAGACACATTAATCCATCTTAAGTCCATCTCCATATCCTGATAAATATTCTAAGTTTGCTTTCCAGGCATGAGCATATGAGAAAAAGCATAGTTATATGAGTCTAATAGTTTTAAATTCTGGTATAGGTCAATAATAAATATGCAAAAGCCATTTCCTCCACATGCAATCTCAAAAAGAGACTTTAACAAAGCAGCCCTTGAATGACACTAATTAAACCAATTCAGCAGAGGGTTGGATTGCGCTGCAGTGTGGACTGCTAATTATTGTTGTCAGGCAGAGTGCAGGTGTGTCACACGGCTCAGTCTGAACGCATTTGGCTTTGGCAGACAGTGAGATAGGACTTTATTTTCATGCTTAATGAGAGAGTACAGGTGCTGAACTGTGTTAGCTGGCCACTGGGATTGCCGTCATCCCAACGTTTTGCTGAACCTTGTTGTCTCAGCCACACGGAGGTTGAATAGGGTGCTAATTGCAAAATCGTATCAGAAATGTTCATCATTTCAGCGCATTTGAAATTACCGTCGCATTGTGGAAGAGTCAGAGGGAAACTGTTCCTTTGATGCAGATTAATAATTAATTGAATGACTTGAGATTACTTTTTGATACTTTTTAATTTGATCAATTTTATAAACAACAACAACAACAATTATTAGTAGTAGTAGTAGTAATAGTAGTAGTATTATTATTATTATTATTATTATTATACAAAAAGAGCTGTTTTAAACAAAACTATTAGAATAAAAATCAATTTTAGTTTAATTTAATATAGTTTAATGTGACTGTATACTTGAAATATAACTAAATGTAACATTAAATATTTTTGTGTTTGACATTTTTAAATTGGAATTATTATTATTATTATTATTATTATTATTATTAT